TACGTCGCTTCTGCATCCCATCGTGGTGACAGCAGTAACCCGGTTTCCTGGTGCCGACCCGATTTCCGCAAACCGTGCCGGCGTTCTTGCCACCTTGCTTTATGGCAATGCACTTTGGCGAAGACGCCGGCAACGGTGATGGCAGCTGCTGTTGCTGCTGTTGCTGCTGCTGCTGTTGCTGCTGCTGTGGCGGTGGTGGAGGTGGTGGCGTAGGTGGCGGCGGTTGCACAGCAGGGGAGGGAGACGGCTGGCTAAGGGCTGTGAGAGCTCTGGCAGCTCCTCTCGTGCGGATGTTGGTGTTGTGCGTGCTGGCCTGATACGCAGCGGCCTGGTACGGCAACCCATCGTCGTCGCTGTCCCTCTCGAAGTCTGAATCTCCTTCTGGATCGCTGTCAAGGCTCCCTGGGGCGATGCTGGTGGTGTGGTTGCGTTGCTGCTGACCCTCCATCGAGCAACGCAAACTAGGTGTCGTAAGTGCTGCTGACAGGCACGCTATAGCAGCGATGATTACCAAACCAACGGAAAATCTCACAGCTGAGGGCCCCAGACGGCGTCCAGGCTTCATGCGCCTACCGGCGTACCCCTGTAGTGCGAGCGCGGGGGTGATGCAGTGTGGCTTGCGCGTGCCTGCCTGTGCTGCTGTACAACTCCATGCGTGCAGGTTCGGGGTTTTGTTTCTATCATCCCCGGGTCGAAGAGACCGGGCTGACCGAGCACAAATATGAGAAATGATCATTTCCAGTGATCACAAAATTCCCGTTGGAGTCCCAGAAGGGTTAAAGAAAGAGATCGGAAAATCGTGAAGAGGTCAGAGACGCCCCAGGGAGCTCTTCGTGAGCTCAAGACCATACACGACCCTGAATCATCTGTACAGCCGTCAGAGGACCTCAAGTCCCTGACGTCGACCAAGATCTCTAGAGGTGAAAACCCCCAAAACGCCCTAAATGAGATGCTCCAAACCGCAAAGTCCTTAACCGAGAAAGGACTAACTGTCAACGAAACGTTCCTCCTTCACCTCTTCCTGGATGCCCTTTCGGACGAGTATGCCATGACAAAGCACAACCTGCGACACGCGAAGGAGTTGACGCGGACCGGTGTGCTAAAGGAAGTAATGATCGAATACAAGGCGATCAAGGACAAGCTGGAGCAGGGGAAAGGAGAAGGGGCGAAGGGCGCAGAGCAAGCGTACTTCGCCGACGGTATGGGCCGCAGGGAGCGGTACTCAAGTAGGAGTCAGGGGCAAGGTCGTAGTCTTGGCCGCGGCGGAGGCGGTCGCGGCGGCGGCGGCGGCGGCGGCGGTCGCGGCGGCCGCTCAGGCGGATCCGGAGGAGTCGAGGAGAGCAAGGGAAGCAGCAGTGGAGGCGCCGATGGCGGTGGTGGCGGGGACTATAAGTTCCCGGGCCGGTGCTTTAAGTGTGGACATCGTGGACATCAAGCGATCGGCTGCACTACCAAAGAGAAGGACTTCGTGCCGTGGTGTGCGCGCTGCGAGGGGTGGGGCCACACCAAAGAAAAGTGCGCGACGGAGGAGGCCGTCCTAGCGCAAGTGGTGGAGCGTGAGAGCGACGTGGACTCCGTGGAAGACCAGGCGTTTTGTGCCGTGGTAGTCCCCCCAGGCGAGTGTGGTACCGAGTGTGGTACCGTTGGTGAAGTAGGTCTAGGGGGGGTTGTGAAACAAGGCCAGGCGGTGTACGTGGCCGACACAGCGGCCACGTGCTCCATGTTCCGATGTGCAGACAACATCGTGAACTACCGTGAGCGTAGCGGTTGGGTGAAGGGGATCGGAGGCGACAAGGCCCCCGTTCCTCTTTCAGGATACGGAGATGTGACCTTAGTCCTACAGAGGGAAGATGGTGGAGTACCCGTACCAGTACTGAATGCTGCCCATGTACCAGAGGCCCCCTACAACCTCCTCTCGCTGTCTTCGTTGGCGGAGGAGAGCCACACGTATTCGGGAATGAAGGGGGGCCTCACGCTGACCAAGAAAGCCGGGGGGGAGGTGTGGTTCCCCCGGACTGGAAAGCTGCTGACCCNCGCGGAGCATTAGGGAGTGCAGCTGACGGATGGACCGCTGCTACCCTGTCTTGGCTGTGCGATGTCCAAGGGACAGGTGAAACCCGTCCAGAAGAGCACGAGCACACGCGCAGTTAAGAAGTTATTTCGCGTGTATCTCGACTTGGGGGGAAATATGACAACCAGGAGCATTGGCGGCAACTGGTACACGCTAATCATCAGAGACGATTTCTCCCGTTGGACGCGTGTTTTCTTCTTGAAACACAAGTCTGACGCAGCGGTTGGGTTTGAGAAGTTCCTGGCGGACTACCGAACGAAAGGGGTTCCGTGTGAGATTTATATCGCACGTACCGACGGTGGCGGCGAGTTCCAGGGGCAGTTTGCGAAAGTTTACCGCAGACACGGCATCAAACAAGAGTTAACCCCCCCTCACACCCCAAAATACAACGGTGTAGCGGAGAGAGCGCTAGGGTCGATCACTGATGCCGCGCTTGCGTCACGCATCCAAGCGACGCAACTGTTCCCCGACGCACCGAACCACCCCGGGTTGTGGGCCGAGGCCATTTCGTGTGCATGCCATCAGCTGGACTGTACCGCCACTAAATCAAACGAGGGAGACAAATCCGCCTACGAGATGTTCCACGACTCCCCACCACCTGTCGGGTCTACATACCCGTTTCTCAAACCAGCCGTGTTCAAGTCGAGAAGAAAAGTAAAGTCGCAACCCTACGGCGAAAAAGGATGGTACCTTGGTCCTGCCCACAATCACCCCCGTGACTGCGTTCGCATGCTAACCGAAGGTGGAACCGTAATCACCACCCGCAATTTCACCTGGCGCCACGTGCCCGCTGCATCGCGCGCTCCTCCGCAGATGCTACTTCTCGCAGATGACGAGGAGGGCGGGGAGGGCGAGAGCAGAGCGGATGAATCACGCCAAGGTCGGGGGGGGGAGAGAGACTCAGAGAGTGAGTCCGATCTCGACGTGATGGAGGCTCGTGGGCCAGGGTAAGCGACGCCGTTTGTGCGCGAGGAGGCGCCGACGGCACCCGGGAACGGGATTCCGGGGGACGAAGGCAGCGTTCCCCCATCGCCCCCTTCGGGAAGGGGCGACTTCAGCGGAGGCAGTGACAGCCCCACCGACAGCAGCAGCAGCAGCAGCAGCAGTGACGCCGGCGGTGCCGGCGGCCCGGGCGGCGAAGAGTCCGGCGACCCAGGTGGGGACGGCGGTAGCGATGGTGATCCCGGCGACTCCGAGAACCTCGAGGAGTTGAAGTATGATCCAGCCGACGACCGCTACCCCCGCGGGCTAGAAGGGAAGAAACTCCTCTGGGGCGCCTCGAACGCTGGCCCGCTGCGCCATGGGCTTGAGAGTGGCCGCACGCGGAAGCAGACCCGGGAGATGCAAGGTGCCGGGGAGATGCCGGGCCCCGGAGAAACACCGGACCCGGAAGAGGCACTGCTGGCGACCATCCTGAAAACTGGCGGGACGAGGATTGTTGAGGACTACATCTGCAACTCGCTCGTGAAGGAGCAGTGGGACGAGGAGCAGACACGCCGTATGAAGGAGATGTACAGGCGCGAGGTGCAGGAGGTGTTGGGCCCGGAACAGCAGGCGTTCGGGGCCGAGGTCGTCGCCAGCGGGTCTTCGCAACCACTCCCAGACCCACAGCTATGTATGACCTCGCCAATCGGGCAGAAGCCGAGTGATGTGGAAGCAGTACCGATGACGTACAAGGATGTGATGTGTTCCAAGTACAAGGTTTTCTGGGAGGCGGCCATGAAGAAAGAGATAGATGGCCACGACAAGACTGGAACCTTTACCAAGGTCAAGGAGCTGCCCGAGGGGCGGAAGGCCATAGGTTCAAAGTGGGTGTTCTCTTGGAAGACGAATGAGAGGGGCCTGATAGTCGACTTCAAGGCCCGTATGGTTGCGCGGGGTTTCTCTCAAATCCCTGGCATTGACTTCCACCACTCATCCTCAGCGTGCCCGTCTGCAGCGTCCATCAAGACGGTGATTGCCGTAGCCACTGACAAGAGCAAGAAACTCGCTCGCTGGGATGTGAAGCAAGCGTACATCCACGCTAAGCTAAAAGAAGAAATATACCTCAGGTTCCCAGAAGGCTGTGGTAGCATGTCCGGCAAAGTGGTCAAGGTTGAGCGTGCCCTGTATGGCCTAAAGCAGAGTGGCCGTGAGTGGGGGTTTGAAGCTGCCGATGCCCTCATCGAGAATGGATACGAGCAGTGCAGGGTTGACCCGTGTGTCTTCCGGAAGGTGGTGGATGGAGAGGTCGTAGGTCTCATCGTGATCTACGTTGATGACATCTTAGTGGCTGCAGACGAGGGAGAGCGACAGGAATTGCTCGCTTCCCTCAACAAGAAGTTTCCGGTGGGAGATCTGGGGAAGTGTACCTGGTACGACGGGTGTGCTATCGCCATGGATGTAGAAAATGGCATCACCAAGCTGTCCCAGACAGCATACATTGAGAGTATGCTGAAGCGGTTTGATGTGACCACGACCGCTTTCACCCCTGCTGCCACCGATCGATGCCGACCTAGGGCCGAGGAGAGATGACGAGCCCGCGGTGGATAAGCCTGTGAGCAAGGCAATCGGATGCCTGATGTGGACGAAGCTGACGAGGTCAGACATCGCCCTGCCTCTGAACAAGCTCCAGAAGATCGCCCACCCACCCACCGGGAGGATATGGAACGCGCTTGTGCGGATCATGTCCTACCTGAACTTCACGAAGGACTTCGGCATCACCTACGTACGGGGGTCAGGACTAGACCTAAGCGTGTTTGTCNAAGCTCCAGAAGATCGCCCACCCACCCACCGGGAGGATATGGAACGCGCTTGTGCGGATCATGTCCTACCTGAACTTCACGAAGGACTTCGGCATCACCTACGTACGGGGGTCAGGACTAGACCTAAGCGTGCTTGTCGATACCAGCTACGCTGACAACGAAGTAGACAGACGTTCTACGACCGGGCTAGCTGTGACCGTAGGTGGTACCGGAGTGTGTGCATCCACCAAGACGCAGCCAGTGACGGCTCAGTCGACCTCGGAAGCAGAGTATATGGCAGCCGGGGAGGGCGTGAAGGAGGCGTTGTTTGTGCGTGGCGTTCTGTCGTTCATAGCGCCCGAGCCGAGTGGGGCGTAGATCAAGGTCCTTGAGGACAACAAGGGGGCTCTCGCCTTAATCGAGAACCCGTTCAACTCAGCGAGGAGCAAGCACATCGACGTGCGGTTCCATTTCATTCGCGAGCTATTCAAGTTGGGCAGGATCACTGCAGAGTATGTTCCGACTGGAGAGCAGCACGCCGACATGCTGACCAAGGTCCTTGGCAGCGAGAAGTTACAGTACCACCGGAAGGCTCTGATAAACCTACCGATGTAGAATTCTATTGTTCTGTTTGGTTTATGTGGTGGTTTTAGCACTTGGCATATATGACCATGGTACGTCACGCAGGAAGCGTTGTGCCGGCGCGTCACCCGCGGCTGGAGCCTAGAAACGCCGAGAGCGTTGCTTCGGGTGTGTAATCAGCGTGACCGGTTCAATCTGTCCTGCCTTGGTCTTGTCTTGGAAGTGCGGCCGTTGGAATCCTCCGTGATAGCGACGGTTTTCTATATTTAGGGTTTTAGACGAGGGTTTTTGATCCGGTTGGCATAGTTTTCCCTCGAGCCTGTTGTTGTTTTGAGTCCTTTTGGTAGATCAGGGGTATCCATGCCCCACGTTAGGTTTGCCATTCGCGTGCAAATCGGGGAGGGTGTTCGTGTGTTTGGATACGGACTGCTTAGATCTACCTGCAACAACAGAGGGCACGCAGATGGGGTATATGTACACCTTGAAATGGTTGCATGTGCGGGGACCCCTCGAACTCCAAAGAGGGCTTCCCTTCTCCCTACTCCCCTTGCGTGTCTAATACAAGAGATGAAACGTCTTCCCCTTCCAAGAAAAGGACATATACGAACAGAGAACGTCTTCCTCAGCGACTTCTTCGGCTGCGTTGGTTTTCTTCCGCTTACCACCCAAATGTGTCGCATGCAATATCCATTGGAAGACATTGCTCACTGGGTAGGGCGAGCTGCTGCCATGGCCTGCTGCCGTGTTGCCGTTGGCTCAAATAATTGAAGCAGCATCTGCATGGTGCGGTCTTCATGTGGGTCTGTGGTGTCAGTGTTTCCCGCAGTGCCATCCCCTACCATCGCCCGACTCGTGGTATCTTTGCGGCGTTTTCGTTTCTTTGGCCAGTCAAATGCGCGAGACGATGGTGGAGATGATGACAACCCCGGCCCCTCTCCAGCTGCCAGCCATTGCGGGCAACTGGGACGAGGAAATGCGTTTCAGTGAAATCGAACGAGGGGTAAACTGCAGCAAGGCCTCGGATGTGAACCAGCTTCCGATGAATCCGCAGCCTTGCACTTTCTTGTGTGCATTTGCTCTAGGAGCAGTGGGGAAGGGCAATCCCGTCGAATCGGTGCGAAGTGGCGTCGTTGCTGCACGTGTTCGTGAAAACGGATTTCGTTTCATGACAGTGGAATCAGGGTTCCTTCCACCGATTGTGACTACATGTCATTGGAATTCCTAATTGGTGCACTGCAGATGTTTCTTTTGTAAATTGCTACTTGCTTGCTCATGCCACAAACGTCCAGCCCCGCTGATGCTGGGTAACAGGTGGAGAAGTACTCTCAGCTGGCCCAAGAAGCGCTGCCAAAGAGCGTCTAGGGTCCCGCGGACGCCGAGGTCGCGAAGTGAGTCACTAAAGAATGACCTCTTTCAGCTACTCCGCCGCTCTTGCGTTTTGCGACCGTCTATTGCCACGCATTCCTGGCATAAGAATTTCGGCCTCGACTCACTATCATCGGCCTCTGCTCACTCTAGATTCCAAGGCACGACGTGATGCTTACGTTCCCGGGAGGTTTGCCATGCTTATCCGATGATCAGGGCACCACAAACAAGCGTATTCATGCCAATTATTCCTTTGCTCCTCCTGTTCCTACCCAGGGCGTGGGCAATGCTGGCCTACCTATGCGGTTTCATGGGCGACTTGGTGAGGACCTCGCCGTGGAACTGATTGTCGAGAAAGAATGCGCTTCATTGTTGACCCTCGTGAAATCGTATTGATTCTCTGTTTGAAAGCAGCCGGGGCGCGTAACATGGCAATTTGGTCGGTTCGATACAATGCATGCAACATGCTGAGACTGCTCTGCTTAGACCTATTTTTTTATTAAGTTTTTCCAACGTGCTTCGTTCGGTTCGACCATTATGCCAATCTTACATGCAGGCAAGGTATCAAGAGTACCTGGCTGTGTCGGAGTCTTGTTTCAGGAGTTCTGTCGAGCACGGGTCCACCGGTACTCTTCCATTGGTGAGGACAACGTTTCGCACCCGTCTAGGGTGCTATGAATGACGAATGACTGGGTGGGGTGGAACGACCGTGCCTCCTCTTCGCTTCCTCTGCTGCTACGCGTGCAGCACATCAATGCCGACGACGAAACGCTCTTTTCGCGGCCTAAGAACCCGCTGAGCAAAAGACGGTGCTGCCACGAACGATGCTGTATTATGGAGAGTTCCTCTCCGCTCTTGATGCTATGGGCTGAGCAGCTGCCGATATCGCTGACGTCTCTATATCCCACGCGGATGTGCGCTGCGCAGGGATTCGCGGAGGTTGTAAATTTAACCGAGATATCTGATTCTTGCTGCGGACACCGGCAGATAATTGGTCTAGCGGCGACGAGCAAGCGATGCCGCAGGTGCGCGAGTCGGTTGCATCGCAGAGCCGTCGGGCAATGAGCGCTTTGAACCACACCTCACTGCACGGAACCGAGCACCGAGAGTAGTTCACGTGGTTGTTTACTGTCGTCGGAGTAGCTTCTGCACCGGGCATGGTCTTTGCATGATGGACATAGTCTCTACACTCTCAGCATGTAGGGTGGAATTTTGCACGTCATTTCTTTCTCTTCTTGCCAACACTGCGTCCCGTGTTTTCTGACCCACTTTCGCCCACTACGCTTGCTGGCCTTGCATTCACAGTTGAATGAAGCTGACACCGAGGGCGAGGTACATCGGTATGTTGCTCAATCGTCAAATGGGGACATCCGCTTCCTGCCCCCTGGTCGCCGGTGCCGCTGCCCTGGTAATTGGCACACAAGAAGCAAAGTGCAGATATGCGTAGTTCAGGTGCTACCGTTGGTAACCGATTGCTCTGCAACGTGGTGGAATATGTACGTTTGACGCCGCATCTGCTAATGAAATTGTTGTACTGCTGTGGAGTCTCAGCATCTTCCGATTTGCTTTTCGATAGGTTCGGCAGTACTTCAAGGACCCATCGTTTTTCGCCAAGGATGAAACGTCTCGGGGGGGGGCTGCGCTGAAGATTCCTCGTCTTCCCAGTGTTCCGAGTTCGCCCCCTCTGCGGCGACCGTCAAGGTGAGAAGCGAGATCACGAAAAACATTGAGAGATGATCCAGCCGGAAAACCGTCTCGGTTGTCGCAAGCTAATCTTGGATGCGGTCAGAGCGAAAGAAGCCCGGTTGAACGTCCCACCTCTTTCGACGTTTTCTCGTTCCGTTCAAACGCTAGGCCCCAAAACGAAAATATTCGAGGTTTCGCACACGAAGACTCCATTGCATAAGTTTGGATGAGCCAATTGCTCAGAGTCTAACTGCGTGAAAATCGACGTGTGTGCAAGGTAAAGACGTACAATAGAAATGCAAATCGATAGACTGAGGTTGAAGATTACATCCTCCCACAGCCGGGAAGTGTCCATCTATTTCCCAACGACCACCCTGAACCCGGAAGTGCGAGAAAAGCCATAGAACCCATATCAGTACTCATTCCATAATGGGCAATGTCCGATAAAGTAAGTATTCTCACGGGCCCCGACCATGCCGGGAAGGGGGCTACTCCAATCATGCAGAAACCCCTCTTGAAAGGCATTCAAATACCCAGATTCTCAGGTATGGGGAGCCACAGGTATCGACGACCGCCCATGATGGTTTTGTTGTACAATAGTCTAGGCGGAACATCTTGTAGTCAATGTACAGTAGTACCTGAGGATACAAGGTCGAAGAACGTTCCTCGAGACGAGCGGTCATGTGAATACCATCTGTGTACCAACCTCGTCGAAGCTGTATAAACTCCATTGAGTGCTGGTCAGCAGGAGGAGAGCAGCCGAAACTCGACTCTGTACTATCCGTGGAGGCAGTGTTGGCCAGAATTTGTGAAAACATTCTTCCCATGTAAGTCAGCGCTGTGTCCTGAGCTGCATCTTCACCTCTCTGCCCATCCCCTCCTGCTGAATACTTTTCAGGCCATGATCATTAACAGCGCGCACCTGATGGGTGGGAGCAGCGAACCCAACGGACTTCGTGGTTTTCGCCGAGTGCACATCGAGGCGGGCATGCCCATGGACGGCGTCGGTGAAACCGGCCTTCTCGTTGTCGAAGCAAACATCTGTTCTGACAGCGAAATTACCGAGCTAGTCACGGTCAACGGGGATGTTGGAGCGGAGCTCCGAGCAACGCTCGCCTGGCTAGATCCCCAAACGACGGCCTTGTCGGCCCAGCAGCTTCAACACGACCTCGACCTACATGTGACAGCCCCAAGCGGCGCCAAGTACACCATGTGGGAATCGGGCGCAGATGACACGGTCAATGTGGTGGAGCGTGTGATCGTGCCCGTTGAATCAATGGAGAGCGGTGTGTGGAGCGTAGTCGTGTCGGCCAGGGGCTGCTTACGGATGAACAGTCGTATTCGTTGGTGGTCACGGCGGCTATCTACAGCTCCAAGTAGCGCATGACCCCGCCTCGTTGGTCGTTGTCTTCTGGTCAGCTGGGTGTGCGTTGCAGGGTCTTACGGGGTGGGAATACGGCGTTGCTTTCTACGTAGTAGTCGGCGTTGGTATTGCTTGTGCCCGCCGGCTGGAAAGAAGCGATGGCCTTTCTCTCCCCTATTGTTTCCTCTCCTCTCGTGTATCGTGTGTTGGATGGGAAGAACAAGCAGCGCGGATAGCTGTGAACGTTTTGCCGCCAGATATAACGCGCACGTGTGCTGTTATTCGTTGTAGTTTGTGCCAAGAAGGGGTTCCTTGCCAACTACGCTTAACCTCTATCGACTTGATAAGTAGGATACGTGCAGATGCATGCAAAGTTTTCCACGTTCAGTTTTTTTGGAAAGGATGTTGGTACGTCAACGATTGAGTTTGACGGTTTTTGTTGTCCTGGATGGATGGGTGGTTGAGGGGTCTTCACCTTCGGCTCCTCTTCTGTGTTGTTATGTCAATGTGCTGAACGGTGGCTGTGTTACACGACAAGATCTGGACAAAGTCTCACACCAAAAGCATGTGATAGCTAAAGAGCGTTACAGACATACTTCCTATACACAATGGGCTACACCATGCCGCCCGTAATGTGAACGTTTGAGTAGAGCACCGAAGACTCTCGCCCCGCGTGCTTTCGCGACCTGGGTCTAGTAGAACGCAGACTAGGCTACATGCGTCGGGCGATCAATGTGTCGGGCGTAGATGTGTTGCTGGATGGTATGCCTAGGGGCGCATGCGTAAAATGCTGTAATTGCACAGCCCACAATTGTGAAGCTTGGTACATGGTCGATTCTGGCAAATAGTGGCGTTGCACGGCTGTTTCGACCAGGGTAGTCCTCGATACCAGTTTTTTTGACGGACACAAAACGGGACGGTTTGCAAAATGACGAAAGTTTTTTGGCGGTTTGACGGTACTACGTTTTATGACGGTACCACTTTTGGCGGTTGACGGTACCGCCGAATTTGCCGGTACTTTTTCGGGATTTGCAAAATGACGGTGATTTTTTTACGGTTGGCGGTGTTTCGTTTATTTGACGGTACTTTTTTGACGGTACCGCAGTATGACGGTACTTTTTTGACGGTACCGCAGTATGACGGTACCACTTTTGGCGGTTGACGGTACTTTAAAGGAATGCCTGCCCGACGGTGGCTTGCCTCCTAGATGTAGTAGATNGATTTGCAAAATGACGGTGATTTTTTTACGGTTGGCGGTGTTTCGTTTATTTGACGGTACTTTTTTGACGGTACCGCAGTATGACGGTACTTTTTTGACGGTACCGCAGTATGACGGTACCACTTTTGGCGGTTGACGGTACTTTAAAGGAATGCCTGCCCGACGGTGGCTTGCCTCCTAGATGTAGTAGATGTAGATTATGCCGTAGACACTCTTGTCCACGAGCACGTTGAGATGGGAAGGTTGCTTGTTATTGCAGAAGCGGGTCTGCTACAGGTCTGAGGTGAGGCGGATTGCCCTCAACCTGGGGGCACGCAGATAGCTAAGTCCCGATGGGGTACGTCCTAAGCGGGTATACCTCCTGACGTCCCCCATCTTAATCTAGACCGACTGTGTACCCTATCTGTGCCATACAGCAACACTCCTTAACACTAGCCCACCCTGAAGATCATCTATACA